GGGGTAGGGGTTAAGGTTAGGGTGCGAGGGTAGGGGTTAAGGTCAGGGTTGAGGGGTAGGGGTTAAGGTCGAGGGTAGGGGTTAAGGTTAGGGTGCGAGGGTAGGGGTTAAGGTTAATGCTGGGTGTAAGGTTTGGGTAAAGTAAGGGGTAGGTAAAGCATGAGTTGGGTAAGGGGTGGGTGAAGTAATCAGTGATTCATATTTACTATGTCTAAACCATACCTCGGTTTCACTCTGGGTGGACAGCTGGTTTAATTACCACCCTGTAATTAGCTATATATCGTGTAATCGTTCCACTAATGAGATGGTTGATTATAATTAATACGATTCCTGTCCGCGATTTTGCTGTGCGGTTTATCGGTGTTACCTACCATGCGTTTGGACTGAACTCACGTGCGTGAGCATCCAGCGTTGATGTGTAGTGCGAGTTTAATATTGTCATTCGTTTATTGTTTGCAGGAAATCCGGGGAAAACGCAGAGCAGCATAAAGACGAGCATCAAGTCAGCGAGTAACGTTCACCCGTATTCTAGATGATTCCTCACTAGGTGGCGCCGCAACACCGAGGACTTGTTTAATTACGTATCAATCTAATATCTAGTTGATAAGTGCGATATTTCAAGTTTTCAACGTAAATTATATGGAAAATGTACAGAATACTGGCTGGACGACATTGGCGTAACTTTATCATGGTGTCGAAATGTATTATTAATTCATTTTTGTTTACTTACAATGTGTAAATAGTCATTTATAGATGTAGAGTAGTCAATAAAGATCGGAATGGCATATACAAATTCATTAGTTTGTATTATTTCTGTCAGTATTTTTTCTTTCTTTTTACTCGGTCGATAGAAATTACGATAAAAAGTACTGTTAACTTATTTCACACTCCCTCAATATCATGTGAACTTAATTTACACACTCACGCACTCACTCATGTACGCACGCACATACATGCAGATACGCACACACACACACGCATACGCGCGCACACACACCACACACACACGTGCACGCACCTTGAATACGGAACTCTCAGCTCTCACGAAAATTAATATATAAATAGAAAGTGGAAACATCTCGTTCTGTCAAACAACACTGAGTAAATTTATTTTCATGGCTGCCAAAAACCAGAAAGTATATATGTGATATAAGAGCAATCAAATATATTGACATAATATTGATAATATTGACATTCCTACTCAACCCCATTTTATCCATTCCTCATCTCACGCTCGCTCTCTAGATCACATACGTCGATATACGAGCAGTGAGCCGTATAGTGATTGTTTTGTTAGATGGTGTCTGCCAGAGATGTTGTAGGCCTGCACGAAGCATTCTTGTGTAAAGTGCGTCAAGTCTCTGGTTGCGGGTGACATTCAATGTCCATCGATCGAGCCGTTCATAAAGAAGAATATTTTTCAACATTCACTACCTATATATAGTTTGTTACATTTCCGATTTTTCAGTAAGAATGTGCACGTCTCACATCGTACCAACTTGTCTATTCATACTATAATTTGGCTAATTATGTTGTGTGTGTGTGTGTGTGTGTGTGTTGTGTGTGTGTTTGTTTGTCCACTTGCTTTAATGCCATGATTTGCACTCAATCGCGTAACTGAAGTTATATCAGAATCACCACGTCTGGGAGATTTTTGGTTCTGGCTGAGAACAAAATTTAAAGTATTAAGTCAAAAATTCGAAAAATGCTATCGTCATAGATGGCAGTGCGTACAGCAATCCACATCATCATACGTGGGAAATTTACACTGCGTCTCTTGACTGCCGGCCGTATGACTATATTTCAGAATCACCAACGTCTGGGAGATGGTCTGGCTGCAAACAAAAATCTATTCCTTCAATAGATGGTGCTACGTCTCATGATCCCCCCCTACTGCATGATTCCCCCCTGCTCTCTGGCTGCGTTTTGACGTACCCGTACTGACACAGTATCAGTGGCCAGTAGCTGTGCCTAGTGTTCTGTTGTAGCCAGTGCGTGGTTTCTTTTGCAGTTCACATGAAATATTTAACTGTTATCGTGTGGTCATTACATGGAGTTCTATTAAAGACAACATGTTGCTGGTTCTACGGGTTATACTTTCTGCAGTATATATAAATTTGAGTTCACGAATTAAGTTCGTACTCGCATATACCTAGAGAATTCCCGCAGCCTTGAGGAAAATAAAGATATTTTCAGAATCATGCACGTCTGGAAGGTGGTTCTGGCTGAAACAAAAATTTTAAAAAGTTAAAAAGTTAAAATTCATAAAAAATTCTATTCCTCAATCAGATGGCGGTGGCATACATAACATGGTATACCCTAAACGCGCAGTGGCCTACATCGCTGAACATCGCGTCTCAACAGCAGGGATTCCGGTTCGAGTCGCCAGCTGGCGACATTATTTTTTCCTTTTTCCTTTTTTCCTTGTACGCTACTTCCCTTTTATATGTAGAAGTATGTATGTATGTAGTATGTATTTAGTAGTATGTAGTATGTAGTAGTAATGTAGTTATGTTTTTAAATTTTACGTTATTTTTTATATTAACTGTCTTTTATCTTTTGATTTTTATTATTTTTTACTGTGGGAGTGGAATGGGATGTGGATGTGATGTGATGGGCATGGCATGGATGGCGGTGGCGATCGGCATGGCATGGCATGGCATGGTTATGTATGGGAATCGCATAGATGGAGATGAGATGGGATGGGATATGCGATGCGGATGGGATGGCATGCGTGCGAATGGATGGGATGGGATGGGATGGAATGGATGGAGGGATGGATGCAATGGATGCATGGATAGATAGTATAGTTTGATTTTTTTGGTTTTTTCCCTTTCAACCAAGCGGTCCACGCAACTGAGTAAGCGCACTGGATGTTCCCGCGGCGCGGCCGGGTATCCGCTAGTGTTTTATAATATGAATGGCCAGCCACCTTTGGTAAGCCAACCGTTATTATTGCTATGCTGGCTTAACAAGCACGAGAAGTGGGAAGGTAGGATAGAGCAAAGAGAGGAGAATATATATCATTATATATACGATAGATAAGAGAGAGAGAGAGAGAGATTTTTGAAAATTGGAGGGAAAATTGGGAAATTTGTGAGAGAGAAGATGAGGGCAGATGTGAAAGGGATGAGCCGAAGGAAAGCAGATAGTAGGAGAGGGAACTGAGAGAGGAAAGAACGAGGAAGCGAGATAGGGCGAGAGAGAGCGAGCGAGAGAGAGAGAAGAGAGAGAGAGAGAGCGCCGCGCGAGAGAGAGCGAGCGAGAGAGAGAGAAAGATAAAGAGAGAGAGAGAGAGACGAGAGCGAGAGATAGATTAGATAGAGAGAGAGCGCGCTCGAGAGAGAAGCGAGAGAGAGAAAGAGATAGATAAAGAGAGAGCGCGAGAGAGAGAGAGAGAGAGCGCGCGCCTGAGTAGAGAGAGAGGAAAGATAGAGAGAAGAGAGAGAGAGAGAGAGAGAGACAGAGAAAGAGTAGAGAGAGAGAGAGGGAAGAGAGAGAGATAGATAGTGAGAGAGAGAGTAGAGAGAGAGCGAGAGAGAGAGAGAGAGAAGAGAGAAATAGAGAGAGAGGAGAGAGCAGAGAGAGATAGATAGAGTTAGAGAGAGATGATGAGAGAGAGAGAGAGATAGATGAGATGAGAGAGAAAGAGAGAGAGAGAGGAGAGACGCTGAGAGAGAGAGAGAGAGAGGCAGAAAGACAGACAGCGAGAGATAGATAGATAGAGAGAGAGAGGCGCGCGCGAGAGAAGAGCGAGAGAGAGAAAAGATAGATAGAGATAGGATGAGAGAGAGAGAGAGAGAGAGGAGAGAGAGAGAGAGGAGAAGAGTGTAAGGAAAAAGAGTAAGGGAAGGGAGAGAGAGAGGGAAGAAAGAGATAGTTATAGAGAGAGATAGATAGAGAGAGAGAGAGAGAGAGAGAGAGAGCGAGAGAGAGAAGAGAGAGAGAGAGAGAGTCGGAGCGAGAGAGAGAGAGAGCAGCGAGAGAGAGAGAGAGCGAGAGAGATAGATAGAGAGAAAGAGAGAGATAGAGAAAGATAGAGAGAGTGAGAAAGAAGAGAGAGAGATAGATAGAGAGAGAGAAGAATGATGGAGGGATGATGCATGGATGCATGGATAATATAGATATTTTGATTTTTTTGGTATTTTCCTTTCAACAAGCGGTCACCAACTGGTAACGCCAACTGATTTCCCCGGGCAGCGCGGGTATCCGCTAGTGTTTATAATATGAATGGCCAGCCACCTTTTGGAAGCCTACCGTTATTTGCTATGCTCGCTTAACAAGCACGAGAGGTTGGGGAAGGGTGAGGAAGAGCAACGAGAGCGAGATATATATATACATATGATATACGATAAGATAAGAGAGAGAGAGAGAGAGTGAGAGAGAAGTGAGAGGCAGAAGTGAAGGAGAGAGTCGCGAAGGAAAGCAAGATACGTAGGAGAGTGAACTGAGAGAGAGAAAGAAGGGAAGAGATAGCGAGAGAGAGCGAGCGAGAGGGGAGAACGGAGAGAGAGAGAAGAGAGAGAGCGCGCGAGAAGAGAGCGAGAGAGAGAGAGAAAAGAAAGAGAGAGAGAGAGAGAGCAGAGAGCCGAGAGATAGAAGATGAGAGAGAGCGTCGCGCGAAGAGAAAGCGAGAGAGAGAAAGAGAAGATAGAAGAGAGAGCGGCGAGAGAGGAGAGAGAGCGCGGCGCGAGAGAGAGAGAGAAAGATAGAGAGGAGAGAGAGAAGAGAGAGGAGAGAGAGAGAGAGAGAGAGAGAGAGAGAAGACAGAGAAAGAGAGAGAGAGAGAGAGGGAAGAGAGAGAGATAGATAGTGAGAGAGAGAGAGAGAGAGAGAGAGAGAGAGCGAGAGAGAGAGAGAGAGAGAGAGAGAAAGGAGAGAGAGTAGAGAGAGGCGAGAGAGAATAGAAGATAGAGAGTAGAGAGAGAAAGAGAGATAGAGAAGAGAGGAAGAAAGAGAGAGAGAGGAGAGAGAGAGAGCGGCGACGAGAGCGAGGAGAGAGAGAGAGAAGAGACAGACAGCGAGAGATAGATAGATAGAGAGAGAGAGCCGCGCGCGAGAGAGAGAGCGACGAGAGAGAAAGAGATAGATTAGAGAAGAGAGAGAGAGAGAGAGAGAGAGAGAGAGCGAGAAGAGAGAGAGAAGTGTAAGGTAGAAAGATCGTAAGGGAGAGCGAGAGAGAGGGAGAGAGAGATAATAGAGAGAGATGAGTAGAGAGAGAGAGAGAGAGAAAGCGAAGAGGAGGAGAGAGAGAGAGAGAGCGAGCGAGAGAGAGAGAGAAGCGAGAGGAGAGAGAGAGCGAGAGAGATAGATAGAGATAAAGAGAGAGATAGCAGAAAGAAGAGAGAGTGAGCAGCGAGAGAGAGGATAGATAGAGAGAGAGAGAGAGAGACAGAGAGCGCGCGCGAGACAGAGAGCAGCGAGAGCGAGAAAGAGATTTAGCTAGAGGAGAGCCGAGAGAGAGAGAGAGAGAGAGAGACGCGCGCGAGAGAGAGAGAGGAGAGAGAGAGAGAGAGTGTGTAAGGTAGAAAGAGTAAGGAGAGAGAGAGAGAGGAAGAGAGAGAGATAGATAGAGAGAGAGAGAGAGAGAGGAGAGAGAGAGAGATGAGGAGAGCGAGAGAGAGAGAGAGAGAGAGAAAGAGAGAAGAGAGAGAGAGCGAGAATAGATAGATGAGAGAGAGAGAGAGATAGAGAGAGGAGAGAGATTAGAGAGAGAGAGAGAGAGAGAGAGAGAGAGAGAGGCGCGCGAGAAGAGCGAGAGAAAAGAGAGAGAGAGAGAGAGAGAGAGAGAGAACAGCGAGCGATAGATGAG